CACTTCTCAGCCCAGACTAAGAAACTGGAGAGGAAAGTAAAAGCCCCACCCTGTTATTTAGTGTAGGGGAACAATGGGAAGAGAGGCTCTCCTGCCTCCAGCACCGAGTGCAGGGGGCAAGATTAAGTTTTGCTCATGTCTTAAGGGGAAGAGACTGCTTCAGATCTTGGCTCAGACAGTTCTCTTTTTATTAGGTGACAAGAGGATGTGCTTAAGGTCTCCTGGGGTAGGTAAGGCTAAGAAGAGGAACTTTCAAGCATGGTGGTACAGCAAGGATTACCCAGGGTTTGTCTGTACACCCACTGCCTCCCAGGAAGCAATTTTGGGTTGAGGTTTACCTACTGTTTCCCCAGCTGGAACATTGATTTAAGTCCCAGACACAGAAATTGAGATTAATTTCTTGCCTTTGAGAGACCTCTATGCTTCTGTCTAACCAAACTGAAAACAGCGAACCAGTTACAAACTTTGTGAAGGAAAAAGGACTGACATGTTCTGAAGGCTTGCTGTCCATGCCAAGAAAAAAAACACCAGTAGTGCTAAGTACCAACCTTATACTGCTATTTGTGTTTGTGCAAGTTATAACTTTTTTTATACTGAAAAGAGTCAAACACTGGAACAAAGGTTTGCAAATCTCTAGCTTGTGTGGTTGGACACAGTGATAGATAATTTCATCCAGGCTCCCCTTCCCAGGAAAGGCTGGGTCAGATGATATTCTGAGGTCACTTCAACCTGAGCTCTCCTGTGGTTCTTCAGATTTTGCAACAAGTGTTAAGGCTTTATTACTTACACTTTTCGTATGTAGAAGATGTAACCACAACAAGAAGCTGCCCAACAGTTTGAACTGCTTGACATCTGAAAGGAAGCAGAGCTGGGCTCTGTGAACCTTTGGACCCATCATCATCTTGGCACATGGTCCCCCTCCTTTAGATAAATTACAAGTTCTGGCCTTCAAACCCTCTATGAATTTTCATTCAGCCAACTTCCAAGGGAAAAAAAAAAAAGTTAAGAGGTATTCACAAAGTTGCTGCTCAGTATTATAAAGCATCATGAAAACTGGTTAGAAAACCTCCACTGGAAACCATGGTGGGGAAGGTGCACAACTGACCACTGCCCTTGGCTACTTGCAGACTTTGAAACACACTGTCAAACTGGAGTTTGCACCTTTAAGGTGCCCTGTCTGTCAGTGTTGCTCATGCCTACCCCACACTTCTTCATGGCATCATCCCGCTGGCACCCCAACAGCCAGAGAAACTGGTCACAGGGTGTCACAGGAGCCTTGAGCTCAGTTTGTGGCAAGGAGGGACAGGCCTGAGGCAGGTGTGGATAAGGAGTGGCACAAGTACCCTTCCCTATGGACCTGGGGTATGGGACAGTTCTAGGGTGCTTCCACTATCCTTGTCCAGAGGAAATATTCTCCCTCTGGGGTTGAAACATGGGGCTACTTATTCTCCACAAAAACATGTGCTGCCTTTGACCTGACCTTGCCCTTTTACTCATCCTGCTCTTACCCTACATTTTTCTTTATTTTTTTGGTGAGAAGAAGCAGTTGGTTCCCTCATTCCTCTTGAGAATGGGGAGGACATGGAGGTCAGATAGATGGGACAACTTGCATCCCCAGAGACAGGCTAACTTTGACTCTTTGTCAATAAATCCCAGATTTTCTGAGCAACACCTGCAAGAAACACTGCAGGTTTGGGCAAACTCACCCCAGACTTGATACTTCAATCCAATTATGTGTCATGCTCGCCTCCTCGTTCATCATGTTAAGCTCTTCTAAAATTACCCTCTAGTCCTCTGAATGAAAACACCTCGCTCCTTCACTTCAAACACTGTGATAAACATAGATCCTTGTAATATGAGAAAAGAGGGTGAGGACCTTGCTGTATTTCATTATTTTTGCACTACAGCAATGAATTTCAAAATAGCTTAGCAGTAGTAGTCATGCTTACTGATTTAGTGTACATTCCCTTCACTGCTCTTCAGAAATTTAGCACTTCTGGGAACAAGCATGAGACTTTGAATTAGTTTCTTTTTTTTCTCTCCTCCCTTCAGCAGGTTACAATGTGGCATTTTCTTGCTTTTTGTTTGGTTTGAATGAAAGTCCAGCCCTCTTTCCTTCCTGCACAATTGTTCCCTCAATGCAAAGGGCTGGAAGACAGGAGGAGAGTAACCTTCTAGCCTCATCTGGAAAGAAGCAGTACTTTTCCCTGTTGTTAACACCTGAAAGAACAACCCTAAGGGGTTTTAAAGCTACTTGCTGTGACCAGGTCATTAACCACAAAAAACACCAACCAGCCAAAACAATTTTAAAAAGCAAACCCCAAAGCAAGCCTTTTAACTGGCATAAAAGTCCCCAGTATGTAAAATTAAGATTCTTTGCTTCTCTTGACACAGTTTTACTAATCTTCTTGACTTGCTGTGCTTTATTTCTGGGCTTAAGAAACCAGGTGAGGCAGCTCCTCCAGCTTTATATATTGCAACAGGAAGTACTCCAGCTTCTGAGAGCATCCTGGACTACCCGAGACCAGCCCTGACTATAAGGAGCCAGCATGAAGGAGCACACTTACTCCTGCACATCAGGGCAGCAGCAAGCAGATGCCCATTAGCACTGCTCACGAGAGCACCTACAGTCAGGCCAAAGAGCCTTCAGATCCACCCCCAGCTTGGGTCATAGCTGGAAACCTGAGCAACACATGGGGGACACCCACAGAGCACCTTGAAAACACATCCATGATTTTGTGAGGCTGAAGTGCTGGTGAGCCCTGTGCAGTGATATATTCTTGCTTGGAGAGCAAGAGGTGAATTTCTCCAGCTGTCTACTGAAGTCGATTTCCCTGGGCAAAGATTAGTTTGCAAGGCATTCTGTCGATTCCCAGCGTACACAACCTGAGCTGGGGGCGACACCACAGAGCTCAGAAGCAGAATGAAGGCAGTTTCTGGCCTCAGATGAGGCTGTTTTACAGCTGCAAAGCTCCACTGACCCCAGCAATGCTCATACAAGCAAGAGGAAATTCCTGCCTGAGTAGCTGAGTATGGCTTTTCCCAGCATTTATTTTTTTTTTCCTGCATAGTGTTGCTTTTTTCTGTTCCCATATCTATTTTCCCAGGTAAGTTTTGCAGGCTTGTCTGTGGATGCACATTCTTTCCAGCTTCTCACATTATCACAAATTGGATCAAGTACAGAAAACAATTGCATCGTACTCACCCTGTGTGATTGATGGTACAGATATGTGCAATAAAACAGAACAAAAACAAGTAGTTCTACCAGGCTCCTTTGAAACTTCAAAGTATCCAAGAGACATTTTACAGCACCCAGCACAACAGCCTGTTGGTTAAGCTGCACAGAAATTAAGCACCATGCAGTCTAAGGGCAAAAATGAAACAAATTTCTAGGGGCAAACTCTGCATACACAGTGGCTAGCTTGGACTAAGGCAGCTTTATTTTATAAGCCACTACATCTTCCTGGTTTTTGTTATAGGTGGGCCATCTTGTTTGGAGCTTTTTCCCCCAAAATG